CCTTTTGTTTCCCGTTTCTGTCTTGGCCTCGCAAGAAACACAGTCCGTTTGTTGCTACCATGCCTTGGTTGCTTTTGGGTGTCATTTTTTGTCCAATCCCCTGGGCCTGGGTCCCTTGTGTGGAGTCCTTTTCGGGGATTTCTGGGGCCTCCCCACGCAGGATCAGTTTAAGCCCTACTTCAGCGGGAAGTCCGTGGGCTACAGCCAGCTTAGCCCAGCCCTCAGAGCCGAAAAGAAGTGCGCGCGAGGTTCGCTCGACACGGCACCAAAGGAAACCGAAACCCTTAGGGTTCCTTGCTTGGGACCCAATTTGGATGCTGCCAATCCTTGAGCGATGGTGGTTACATGATCCCAACCGTTTGTTTAATGGTGGTTTGAACCCCTTGGGAAATGGATCCGAGGAATCTTCAGAGAGGGTCCCAAGTTGGGACATCTTGAGACCCGGGGGGTCCAGGTCTTGGAGCCTGGTTTGGAGGAGGACTTCCAACTTTGGCAGGTTTCAAAGTGGCCAAAACATAGGATCCAATCCTGCTCTACCCCACTCCCCCACCCACCCCTCCAAACCCAAACAGGGGGGCAGACAGAGGCCAATGCCAGACAAAACCATCCACTTGAAGTCTTCAAGTGACACTCCGTGCCTATGGGAATCTCACTTCGGTACTGAGAAAACGGGTGGCACTTCCTCCTTAGCTCACATTTGTCCTCGACCTTCGGTGCCTGAGGCCAGTTCAACGTCGCAAGCCCAGAGCGGATCAGAATTTGTTGAACGCGACGTGTTTGGTAAGAACGGTTTGAGGATACCGCTTTTTCCTGCGGAATTTGAAGGGAAACCAAGAAGCCAGTTACAGGGGGTCCCTATTTGGAGACACACCCACATGTGTGTGTGTGTGTGTGCTTTTCCCCAGCTGAAAGTTTTGGACTCGATCCCAGATCGACTCAGTGGATTGGACTGGGCTAGGCCACGGATTCCGAGGGTGTAGAGTTGGCGGCACCGCTTTTGTTTAAAGGGTACGAGGCTTTCGGTTGATTTGGGAGGGAAGGAAGCCAGAAGTTTCATCTGGGTTCCACACCAATCCGGAAGATCCGGAAGTGCCAGATGGTGCTGGCATCCTTTGCCGTTGTGTCCTGGCGTCAAGGACTCTCCATTTTGAAACGCCCAGCTCAGATTCGGGGTCCAATTTTTAGTTTCGAGAGGACCAATTGAGCTTCCGGAAGGCTTCCAGGGCTTGCTGGGCTTTTTGTTTAGTTCGTCCGGCTGTCGCAGCGAACCAAGGAGATGCCCCATACTATCGGCGTGCACTGCCAGAGGGGCCAAAAACCAGACTCTCCCAACCAGGACCCGAGCGAAGCTCGCTTTTTTGGGACGCTGCGATTCCATCGAGTTGATCGACCATCGGAGAACGTTTTTTGTTTGTTTGTTTTTTTTGGGGGGGTAAGGGGCCAAGATGTGAAGACCCTAAACAGGTACAACCGGGTTTCGATCGCTTGCGCCAAAGTGCGCAGCATCTGCAAGGAACCCATGTGTTAGAGCCCATTTAGGGTCGCCCAGGCCGATAAGGTGGTTTCCCTCCAATTGTTTACCTACTGCTTGGGTTTTGGAGCAACTGGAGCAACCTGTCCATAGTTGAATACGGGTCAAGGGTAACATGTACCATGTGAATTCCCATGTGCCATTCGCGTCAGGACGACTTCTGGATCCTGCAAACGCAGGATTGGCTCTTGTGCGGAGTGGCCCTGGCAGAATTGGGTGCCAGGGCGGCCGAATGCGCGAAGAGCATCACCCGCATCCCCCCCCCCAAAAAAATAAAACAACACCTAGAATTGAAATGGGGGGATGGGGGATCCTTGGAACGACCAACATTTCATTTGCGAATGTATTGCTTCCAGTTCACACCGCCATGCCACCCCGCCACTGTTTTCTGGTGACTCCAACGTGTTGCGGACACCCAAAATGGGAGGGGTGCGAAGCCGGGCTTTGCGAAGATTTCTCTGCGAGGGTCGTTGAGAAAAAAGATGTACAGTGCACCCAACAGCCATAGGTGGCCTGTTTAGGTCAGGCTTGAAAATGGATGGCACTGGTTGCAGGTTGCTTCTAATCTTGTGCCAACTATTTTGCCAAAAACACACCTACACCAACAGCTTAGACTTGTTTCCCCAACAACAGCTGCACCCCGACTTCTAGATCAACGCTGAATACAACCAGGAGCGGGGTGTCCGCCCTGCTTCTTTACCTGGACTTGGGCAAACTGTATGTGGAGAAACCCAATATGCTGAAAATCACTGAACATGGAACCCCATTTCAGAGGGTCCAACTAAAGAAGATGTCTCATGTCTCCAAAAATGAAAGCTTCTGTTGTTTTTGTTCACCTGCCGAGTGCGAACAAGGGTGGCCGGTTTCTCCCATGGAAATCCATCAGAGCCACAAGGGAGGCCGGACCTCTACAGTTTTTTGGGCGCAGGTTCCTTCTCGGGCATTTTGAAGAAAGCCGGAGAGCCAGTTACCCAAACCCGGATTTCCAGCGCACCTCTTTTGAACGGGCCGGGAAAACAACAGCCTGGCCCAACCCTCAATTGGGGTTGCACAAAAGTCTTGAATTCTTCGGTGGAAAATTGGGAACATGGAGCCCAAATTGTGGGTGTCCCCCAAATGGAGGTTCCTCTAAAAGTGGGGGTTGTTGGGTTTCCTCTTCACCAGGGGTGCAAATGATGTGCTTTTGTTGCCTTCCAAGGGCAATTCATGCGACCCTTGTGCCGATCGATTCGACCAGAAGGGAGACTTCAGTTCAGTTTTCCACGTGAACACATCATCCTAGGAGCAAGGGTTACCCATTTTGCCGATTTTACCACAAACAAATAAGCAAAAGAGCAAAGGGTTGAAGTTTCCCCGCATCTGCCAGGTGGCCGACGGTCATGGCAGCAACGGGCACTTTGTGTCCCACTACGTCCAGGCAGTTGGGTCGCGAGTTCCATGAGATGGAGAGATCCTGCGCCGTCTGGGATGGATGAAGCCTGAAATAGGATAGGCCACCCACAAACTGGTGCTGGAGTTCCTCCACATGTGTCTCAACAAGTTCGGACTGTAGGGCCAATCCTCTCGGGAAGTGAGATACCCGTGTTCAAACGGAATCGCAAACCAGATTCATGCGTGACTCTCCGCAAATCCCTTAGAAAGCTCACGGATTCTGGGGTATCAGCGATTCTACCCATGAAGTTTTATTCGCTGGGACATGCTATTGCTGCCGAGTCATGCCAAATTTCAGCCCGGAGCTTGGATCTTGTCTCAAAATGAACCTCATGCCGGCATGAAACCAGAGCGATCCAAGTCCATCCAAGTGAAGATGCTGAGGGCCTCTGAAAGTTACCTTTTGTTTCAGCTGCCATGGAGGGGAATTTTCAGGAGGTCACTTTGGACCACTTTCGTGGACCCAGTCCAGAGCAAGCCGCCTCGCCAAAAAAAAACAGGTGAGTTGGATCAGCAGTGCGTTGGATTGATCGGCTTGGATTGCAAGTACAGCAGCGCCAGGGTGGGTTGATGGTTCCAAAAGCGACCTCAAGGCCAAACAGCATTGGAGTCTCGGTCTCTTCGAGCAACTAGAATACACGGTTAGCCTCAGATTAGAAAACCCGTCCTATTGCTGGGTGGTCCACCCAAGCAAAATTAACCAGGGGGTTGTTCATTTGGGGTCATTGTGTTTGAGTTGTTCTGGTCGGTTGGGACATGGCCACGACTGGCTTTTCGGCACGTCAACCTGTACTTGTTGGGCCAGGTTTCATGTCCATGTAAAAGAGATTTGCAAGAGTGTCACCGTTTTTGGGCGTGTCACCGTTTTTGGGCTGCTCCCCCACGTTACAACATGCTGAGAACGGCATGGCTTGACCTCACGCAAGCCACGGCAAGCAAGCCATCTTCCTTTTTGTTTTAGGAGGGCTGTTTCCTTGGCTAAGTACTACCACAGGGGGATGGAATCACTGGCATATTTAAATGTCAACAACCACTTTACATTGTTTTGGGGGACCTCGCGCGCGACGCGAGGAGCACTTGCCTCAAGCAGTTGTCCGTCACCTGCGAGATAGCAAGTTTGATTGGAGGAGCTTTCTCCGCCAGACCAGATGCCTTGGTATGGTGTTTTTTTGGGGGGGCTTGGCGTGAGCTAGAAATCAGCGACCGCAAACTGCTGCGTTTTTTTAACGGTGACCTCAACTCCATCCAAAGGGTGTCAAATTTGTGGCGACGCCCATGGACAAGACAATACGAGCCTACGCTTGAAGGGATTCAGGCAGTACTTTGACCGTGGCTACTGAAGACTGAACAAACCGTTCGGCCTTGAAGGTTCTTTCGCTTTGTTTTTGATCGACTTGTGTTTTTCTCCTTCGCAGGCGCAAGTCCGGAGACTCACAGTGGCGGTTTCCACGCAACACCTCCTATTGTCCCTCAGCTTAGGGGGCTACTTATTTTGTGCGCGGGTCCTCAAAACGAGGAATTTGTGGATTTGGGGAAGAAGGAATATGGCCCAGAGTCTGGAAATGACATGTTTGGTGTTTGGCCACATCGCGCGGAGAGAAATGGGTGCCCCCAAAGCTGCTTTGGGGCTGCAACTCACTCATCTCTAAATTGACCCCTGGTCAGCAGACACGCAGCTCTTTTTGCGTCATTCTAAGTAGGTTATAGCCAATGTGTCCACCATTTACTTGAGTACTGCAGGTTCAACATCGCAGAACATCCTCGAAATGCCATCGAGGGGTTGCAATCCAAAGGAAATCGGCATGGGAAGCCCTGCTCCAGATTCAAACTCACCCTTAGTGGCCTTAGTGGTTATGTGTAAACCATGGCTCGGGGAATCCTATGTACTCCACTGCTTTCCCTGGTGGTGACTTCTACCAGGTTTTAGCATTCCAGTGAGTGTGTCTTGGGCGAACCTGACACCCAGCCCAAAAGCAGCCCCGAGCCTTCCGCTGGGAGGACGTCGGTCTCCAGCGCCTTCTCAGAGGTTCAAATCAACATGGCGGAGCACATCCCGGACAAGGCGCATATCCGGACACGTTTTCGGACAAACAAATCGGCCAGTTAGAATTTAATTCATGTACCAACATACCAGAGAATTCCGAAGAGACGCAGGTGGCTTTTGGATGTTCCCTCTAAGGAGCCATTGTTTTCCCCAAGGGGCGATTCCTTTCTTAAGCATTGCCCTTATGTGAAACACAAACTCCAGGAATGTTGTTTTGAGAACCCTTCCAAGCCCCACAGACAAGAGAAAGAGGTCCATCACGCTTTTGGCCGGGCTCTCGGTGGGGCTCCTCAACCTTCACTGAGGGTGGATGTTTGCTAGATGGCCATGATTTCTTTATAGGGAACCGCCTCACAAGTGGTTGGCGAACATGAACCCCCACCTAAATTATGTCCACCAAAGGGTCCCTTACAAATCACACCCAGATGTTTCCCTGAAGGAAGCCGCAACATGGCTCATTTGATACATCTTCTTCACCCCCCCCCCGGGCAAAAAAGACATGGCCACCCCAAGGAGAGGGATCGGCCAGCTTGAGCCCACTGGAGATGAAGAGGGCCAGCCAGAAATTGGTGCGGCCATGTGCGGCCCCCATTTCGATTCTCTAATTGGTTTCCAGGTAGGCCTTTTTAGTACCAGAGCCATGGTTTGATGGCTCAAGCGAGCCTACATCAAAGACCTGTAAAAGAGGTTCCCAAAAAGCCAGGCTTTAAACATTGTGACTCTTGGGGGGCTGGTGAAAAGCAAATCGGGGTTGATCAACATTCCGTTCGGCCCTGGCTATCGCTTCCCACGTGGGAAATATCGTCTTTTTAGAGCGTTCCAACCCCTGGTCATCCCATGTATATTGATCAACCTCACAAATGTTCTGAGTTTTCCTTATTTTTTTCTCGCCTCTTCAGGCCTTTGAGTCTGGGTCCACGGCATCTGTGGTGCTTCTTGCCAAAGATGGCCCAGGCAACTTGCGAAAAAGACGGTGGTCAGATGGGTGGAGCTTGGGGGGGGGAAGCTGAGGTCTTCTCCTCAAGAGCTTCCATTTGCTTGAGAACATAGTTTGTTTCAAAGCAATCCATCACTGCTGGACATATGGGTCTGTGTTTTTTTACCGTGTCAGTTCTTTAGTCTTCGTGGGAGGTGGGGCTTGGGCGAGCCACACCCCCGAATCATCCGAATCATACCCCCGATTCATACCCCGATTCATACCCCCGAAAAAATCCAAAAAGGAGTTCAAGAACTGCTGACCTTGCAAGCCTGCTTGAAGGCCTTAGCTAAGGGCATGCAAGTAGGGCCTGTCCTGCGGGCAACGCAATAAACTGTCTGTCCCCAAGCAGCTGGCGTTTAGGGTAAAAGCTACAGGTTAGCTCACAGTTCGTCAAGCGCCAGCTGACAGTTTGTATGGCGACGCACGCGTAATTGCATTTCAAAAGTGCGCAGGCTCGCACGAGCTGCTTGCTGTTTATCCCAAGTGCGCTTTCGCTGCTGCGTCAAGCGGTGGACTTGCGCGCTCGGCCTTGGTACGTGTACTGCCGCTCCGGCGCGGGTTGAAAAATGACCAAGAAGGCTTGAAAACTCTGTGACGGACATCTCGCCCCTGCTGCTACGTGGGTGAGAGTTTGACCACTAACCAAGCCTTTGCTGACTTTGCGCGGGCTGACAGCTTCACATGGCGCGGGCCTGTTCCAAGTGCAAGGGTGCTGCCGCTTGCAGCAGCCCCGCATGATTGCAAGCTTTCTTAGCCATGCTCGCTTGTCTTTCCGCTAGCAAAAGTCTTCCCCGCGATTCACACCCCCGATTCATACCCGATTCATACCCCAAGTCATACCCTTTCGCAGCCATCTGCAACCAAGAGCCTCTTGCGCTCTGGGCGCAATTGTGAAGCTACAGGGACCAGATCTGCAGAAGCTAGGCAAACAAAGGGGAGGACTGCAGAACGACGCCGCCCAGGTCCATTTGAAGCTCGACCCTGTGAAATAAACGTGACGCGGCAACGTGAGCCTACCACACTCTACCACTGTGTCAGTTTTGCGCAGCGGTTCCCCTGCGTAGAAATCCACACTCAGGACCCCCCAAGGGCAAGCCAGAGACAGGGAAACACGGTACACCACCTGTGAGAGGCCCACTAGCCTCTGCGAGGCTGCCGTTTGAGGATGTTACGCTGTCTTGCCCTTACGCTGGTTCGTGACTGGTGCGGGTGGCGGGCCTGACTGGGCAGCGGCGCTTCCCCTTAAGCAACGCTTGCTTGGGTCTGTGAGCACGCGGGTCGCTTGAACTCCAAGTGTAGGTGGCAATGACGTTCGCCGCAGGCAGTGGCTCTGCGCCTTCCACCTAGCGCAGCAGCTTTCGCACACCCACTCACGCAGAGTGGCAGCTGTCTAGTTCAGGCCACTCACAAGCGCCCCAGGCTGGCTTGTAGCAACTAAGCGGTCCAAATTCTCACGGCTATCCAGTTGCCAGCTCACGGGAGCTTTGCAGTGTCCAAAGCCACAAAGCAAGAGTCCAGAGGCGCGCGAGCCATACCCCGAATCATACCCCCGAGCCATACCCCGAACCATACCTGCGATTCATACCCCTTATGCCAACCTCCCGGCACGGCCACGTCAAAAAAACACATACCCATATGTCCTGGTATTTTCTGCCAGGGGGCGAACAAGCAAATGGAGGCTGTTCAAACAAGTATGTCAATGTTGGCTGAGAATGCTATGGTTCCCCTCTTTAAGGAAAAGACTAGAAATCTCATTGTTGGTTTCCCGATTTTGGGACATAGAGTTGGGCCAAGGTCTATCGCCTAGAGACCATTCCCGCGGATGTCACGCTTTGTTTGGTCCTCAACGCAAAAGCAGCTCGTTGACCCGTTGGTTGCTTTCCTTTGTTTGGTTTTGGAAGCCAGCCGAAGCAGGCACTCGTCACCCGGCGCTCACGACGCACGACTGCCTCAATGGGGGCCATTTGACTGGGATTCCTATATTTCACCTTGGTTTTAAGCATCACCTTGGCCAAGTTTGCGTGAGTTTCCCTGGGAGGTGCGCGGGGAAAGAGATGATAAGAGATGCGTTCTCCTCCAAAGCGTCGGCCCATGTGAAACTCTAGTGATGTAGCTTGTTCTCCGATTCGACCGGAAGCAAAAGCCAAAAGCCAGGGAGGGTTGCGAATTGGTTGGAAACTCGGTGACGGAATCCGAATGTTCCCAAGTTCTGCAGGGTAAGTGTATATTTTGACAGCTATGCATACCCCACTTCTGTGTCAGACAGTCTTGTTATCCAAGGAAAAGCATCAAGTTGAGCGTGGAGTTGCCGAGTGGTCTAGCACCTTCGAAGCTTCTGGGAGCACCTAAGAAGCTAAGAAAAAGTTCTACGGGGTCGGGGTTGGGGGTGGGACCCACTTGTGGTTTCGGCCTTTCTGGGTTTCCGGGCCCAAGATGTTTTCCGGGTCGAGCCCAATTCTTGGTAACAGTTGACTCCTAGAGTTTTGTAGGTCACTGCAGCCATGCGCAGTTACCACGAACACGGCCTTTTTTTGAAAACTACCCTCCTCCTGAAACAGGGTTGCGGTGAAATATGTTCGGGAAAGGTTGGTGGTCCAGCCTATTCCAAACAAAGCAAGGCCTGTGTTTTTCCCATGGTCGGCTCATTTCTGGCAGGCTGGAAGTTGCACACCGGCTTTGTTGGCGACTCGGTGGTCTTGTGCGCCTGGCTGTCTCAGATTTGCGCCGAGTCGAATCGAAGGGTTTTTTCCCAGCGTTTGGCAATCATTCCTGGCAGAGGAGTATGCTTCTACGCCCGCAGGTATGCGAAGAAGGCTTCAAACGCCGCAAATTTTGAGGCCGGGGGCCACTGCGAGTTTAGCAGACTTGCTGGCTGCTTCACAGAACCAGTTGCCTGCGACCACTTCTACCCCACACCCAGACGTTTAGGTTGATGTTTTGGTTGGCGGGGTGCTGAGAATCAGGTCGCCGCTTCGGGAGACTCCTCAACCCCCAAACCACCGCGCGCCAACCACCAAACAACGAGGGAAGCTAGAGAAGACAAGCCTGTCCACTTCAGTGACTCGTTCAATCCCTTTTACTAGTGACCCATTTGTGTTCAGTTTCCGTTCGGATCGGTGGCCACTGGGACAGGGAGCTTTAACTTCAATTTCTTTCCAAGGATGTGACATTCTTGCCAAACCACCATACACCCGTGGAACGCTGGGATTTGAACATAGTTGAAAAGAATGGGATAGCCTTCCAACAGTACACCGAAAGCTCCACCAATCAACCTCTTTGAGATGGACTTTGCTTGTTAAGGCCATTTTTGTAAACAAGCCCATGGAACCCGCCAAGGCTGCGCCCCTATTTGGAGCCTATCGACCCCATTGCTTGGGAAGAAGTTCAGACAGAAAACAGAGGGCCCTTGACCTTGTTCCATCTACCAGGGCCATGGTTCAGACTCGTTTCATCCAATCTCTCGGGCTCGGGTCCGATCGACGCGCCGAATCAGTTGGACATGGTGACATCGACTCATAGACCAGACCGACAGGACGGGGAAATGGGCGGACGGTCCGAGCTGACGAGATGTACCACGATGAAGATGGAGCCCAAGAAATCCACGATGAATAATCCTATAGGTTCAATCATTTGGGGAGTTAACGTTTGGTTGCGATTGAAACGTTTTCTCCAGCTACGTAGTTCGGGGCTTGGACGCCAACAAATCCCCGTGTTTTTCTTTGGGTGGGGGGACCCCATTGGCAAAGGAGTCGCTTCTTCTCAACCGCAGGACGAGATGAAGAGGATTTCCAAGTCCAACGGGCAGGCCTTGTGTACATGGACCCCGAATCAGTCAGCGGTGTGCCACGTCGATTTCTTTCTTGTTGGGTTGAAGACCAGAGGCCAAATATGCACTTTTGTCCCTATGCTAATTGAAAAAAGGGGGAGCAGCTCATGCCCGGTCAACGGGTCAGGGAGAATCAAGCATTTATGTGACCCCTTCGGCCTTCAGGTGGTCGAATTTACAAGGGGGACTCCTATTTTGAGAACAGCGTGTGACCTCCGTAACACACTTGCCATGCTTGCAAGTCCACCTAGGGGATTTACAACCAGGGGCTACTAACCACTTACTACGTCCTGCCTCCTTAAGCTTTGTGCAAGAGTTACATGGTGTTTTGGGCTTGTCCCAAGCTCCCACCCGGCAGTGGTTTGGTGGCAGTTATTCTTGCGAACCTGGGTGGGTCTCTGGTTACGGTCTTTCAGGGTCCTTCAGGGAAGCCTCGACTTCCCTGTCACAGGACTGCATGGTCGCCAGTCTTCTTCTCCGTTTGGCAGCCCTTGCTATGGCTGTGGGTCAAAAACCTGTACCCCTGGTGAACAGCAAAATAGGTGGCAAATGGATGTTCTTCCACCCCAAAATGGAGCCATAGGTTATGAGTTGGCCTGTTGACTAAACAAACCATGGACGTTCAGCGGTACCCGGTGTTGATTATGACGCGGGAGCTGGGGAAATGTGGGTGTATCCTTTTTGGGACCCTAGTGGTTGGTTGTAAGTGGGAGCCACGAGGAAACCACCCATTCAGTGGGCCCCGAATTTTGACACAAACAAAATAATTGGTTGGTTGTTTAGTGGCACCCGTTCTCCCATTGTTTTTGAAATGTTGCTAAGAACATTTCCCCCCCTTTTCTACTAAGGGTCTTTTGGGTCCCCCCGGTCAGCCTCCATTCCCTTCAGGGTGATCACCCCCTAAAGGACCAATGGGGGGCCCGTCATCCCAGCCTTGAGACAAAACCTTGTGGGGAAGACTAAGGATTGTGGCATACGTTGATTGTTTGCTTTCAGCTCCTTGGAAAAGACTCGCTGCCAAAACAACATGTCTCTTGTCATTGCGCGACTTGATTACTCACAGAAACACCTCTCGAGGATCCCCCTGTCCAGGTGGTGTTTGGATGCATCACCTCAGCCTCCCGCTGTTTTTTTTGTCAGATCTCTGGCCCAAAGAAACTTGGTGCGATAGGGAATGTGGTTGAATGAACCCAGGCTGAGGTCCCCAAGGAAACCACCAGTTGGATTTTTTTTTTTTTCCGGGGTCATGAGCTATTTCTCAGGGCAGGTTGGGGTTTTGGAGGCTGAGGTTCCCTGTAAAAAGAAGACCAGCGAGAGAAAGGAAGCAAATCCGCGAGGTCATCCAAAGTGAAGACCCTACCTCGCCCAGCCGCCTGCCGGGGCCCCGGCTTTCGCTGAGTGGACTTGATGCATTTTTTTGGGGGACCATGTTAGTGGTAAACTTAAGTTCAGACTTGGTTCGGCCAATCCACTCAGGAGTGAGTGGTTGAACATCGCCTGGGACCAGTGAAAGTGCGTTTCTTATGCGGGGGGTGATGAGACATATAGGGAGCCCTGTCCTCGAACCAACCTACACCTCAAGTTGAAATAGAAGCCCTGCGCCTTTTTGTTCAGGGCCCATTCCTTAACTTTTGCAGGTCCCGAACACCGATGGAGCAACTACATGAAAGTTCCTGCCGAGTACCCTCCGAGCACCCTGCGCGCGAGAGTGCGAGTAGTGCGTATGGGTGTGCGAGTGGACTGCACACTCGAACAGTCCACTCGCACGCCCTGCTCGCACACTCCTCTCGCTCACTTGTCCAAAAGCCAGTCGCACTCTATTTGGCAAGTGTGCCTAAAAACACCTGTTTGCAACCCCTTGGTACTAGCCAACCGATACCGTAGAATTTGTGCTGAGTTCGTAGCAAACCAAAAAGGTGGACGAAAATCGTGAACAAGCTAAGGATACCAACCGATACCAGGGCAGCTTAGGGTAGTTACTGGGTAGTTGTCCACGTTTTGCAGCTCAAAGGGTTCTGCTTTTGCTCGGGGATTTCTCACTCCCAGTTTCAGGCCTGCCAACAGACTTATGAGAATCCACCTCTGAGAATCTGCCAAACGTTTCTCGCCGTGTGGTTTCTTTCCCCAGGCGTGTTCCCTCGGGCGACATGGCCATGTCCCGTGCATTCGGGGACATCGACGCGCACCTGCTGGGAGCCCCAAACAGGACAGTTTGCGGACTGGTTTTGTCGAACCACGGGCGAACGGCTGATGGGTTAACGAAGGGCCACTGACCGTGTACAAGATGAAATATATAATGAATGGGAACCCCAAGGCATTGTGACAAGACGGTTGTACAATCTTGAATTCCTGGGAACCCCAGATTAGTGGGGTAATCACTTTTGGAGGGAGCACTCTCCGTTGATAGGATGGGTTTATTCATTCGGGGTCTAAATCAAACCACAGAATCCCCTGATTCGTAGGGTCCTCTGGATGAACCGCGTTTGTTTAGTATCTTAACATAACGAAACAACGACTTGTTGGGAAGGAATGATTTCTCAAACAAACTTCTGGTGGGGATGAGGTGAAAGCTCAAAGAATAGAACTTTACAAGCTTGAGTGTACCACTTCAGATTTGGGTTGGGGAGCTTCCAAACCAGGAGAGAATAAGGTGCACGTTCCATGAGTTTTGGCAACACACCACTTTAGAGGATCGGCTTAAATGTTTGAAAGACCGATTGGTTCTGAGTCCCTGTAAATGCTGAACTTCAAAACAAACAGGTCTAGGGCATTTGAATCAACCGGATTTTGGGGCAGCCAACCACCAACTCAAAGGAAGGTCACTTTCCAGGATGCCACGCTCCAACTTTCCAGCCGAAGCGAGCTTCGAGCCGTGGATTCGCAGAATCTCTGGCAAACCCCAACCAAGGACGGCTGCAGGATGCATTGGTTGAAACAACCGGCTCTATTGGCGCCTGAAACAAGGAATCAGAGGAGGTTGCAGCAATCGATTGCTCGGTTAGGATTTGATGTCTAGAAACCCAGGGCTAATAATTAGCTAACTCCCGGACCATTTAATTAGTTGGGTGCGGTTTGCCAACCGCACATTTGGATTCGCGAAGCGCTAATCGCCTTTGGCAATTTGTGGATCCTTACCCTGGGTTTGGGAATTCTCCGTTGGGTTTGACTCACCACGAAAGCTGCGATCTGCCTTTCTGTAGGTCCGGTTGCGACCGGCTTGGTGCCGTTCTGTTTGCCAGCGAACCGCAGACATCTTGGGCTGCCGAAGAACTAGAGTCATAAAGGTCCGGTTAGACAGCTGCGAACAGGCCTACCGGGGAATGGTTCAAGCCCCACAGAGCATTTTTTCTTGCATGGGTGTGATAGAGGATTTCGACACTCTCCCAGCATGTTCTTGTCTCAGCTTCGTGTTTGGTACTTCAACTTTAATTCATCCGGAGATACCTTCCTGCGCCATGAAGGTGGATGTGTACTTGCCCAGTGGTGATGGTTGCTCCATAGCAGTCTCACCGGAGACGCCCGTAAGAGAGCTGGAGGCTGCAGCATGCCAGCATTTCGAGCGCCGTTTGAAACTCATTGCGAAAGGCCAGCAGCTCGATTTGACGCTCACGCTGAGTGAGGCTGGGTTGCGAGACGGGGATGTGATGGCTGCGGTTGTGCTGCTTGGCAACTGGCTGCCACTTATGGTGCCTTCGCTTGGCATGCCCACGGGGGCGAAGTTGCGACAGGGGGTGATCCAGAGCGTGGAGGAGACAGCAGCCAGGTGCAAAAGCAGCTGAGGAACGTCAAGCACACCCAAGCAACTGTAGGTGCTTTTGCTGCCATTCTTGAAAATGGGGCTGTCTTGACCTGGGGTGATCCAGAAGATGGCGGAGACAGCAGCCAGGTGCAAGAGCACCTGAGGAACGTCCAGCGCATCCAAGCAACTCGGTGCGCTTTTGCTGCCATTCTTGAATCTGGGGCTGTTGTGACCTGGGGTAATCCACGTTGTTGCGGAGACAGCGGCCGGGTGCAAGATCAGCTCAGGAACGTCAAGCACATCCAAGCAACTGTAGGTGCGTTTGCTGCCATTCTTCACAATGGGGCTGTTGTGACCTGGGGTGATCCAGACCATGGTGGCGACAGCAGCCCGGTGCAAGAGCAGCTGAGGAACGTCCAGCACATCCAAGCAACTGTAGGTGCGTTTGCTGCCATTCTTGAAAATGGCGCTGTCCTGACCTGGGGTGATCCAGAAGATGGCGGAGACAGCAGCCAGGTGCAAGAGCAGCTGCAGAAGGTTAAATGCATCCAAGCAACTAGCCGTGCTTTTGCTGCCATTCTTGAATCTGGGTATGTTCTGACCTGGGGTGATCCAGGCTTTGGTGGAGACAGCAGCCAGGTGCAAGAGCACCTGAGGAACGTCCAGCGCATCCAAGCAACTCGGTGCGCTTTTGCTGCCATTCTTGAAACTGGGGCTGTCGTGACCTGGGGCAATCCAGGCTGGGGCAGCCAGGTGCAAGAGCAGCTGAGGAATGTCCAACACATTCAAGCAACTGAGCGTGCTTTTGCTGCCATTCTTGAATCTGGGGCTGTCGCGACCTGGGGTGACCCGGAGGATGGCGGAGACAGCAGCCAGGTGCAAGAGCAGCTGAGGAATGTCCAGCACATTCAAGCAACTGCCCATGATTTTTCTGCCATTGTTGAAGGTGGGGCTTCTGTGACCTGGGGTGCTCGAACCCACAGCGGAGACAGCAGCGAGGTGCAAGAGCTGAGCTTGAATCTAGGGCTCTTGCAATGCCGTCAAGAAGCGCACCTTTTGGGGACTCTTTCATTGTGCTGAAAGGGCTACAAACTACCTTAAACTCGCCAGGTGGTTTGAGGAACCATTTGACCATTCCCCTTGTTCGGTTTCGTGGAACGTTTGGACCATGGCATTCCTTGAATTGGAACCAATGCATTGCTTTGAATTGGAACCAATGGACAAGGCTCCGAAAACTCTCCGGCCTGGCAAACCACTTGGGTTCCAACGGGTCAATTCGACTTCCCGAGTTCTTTGCGCTCGAAGCCTTTGGAGAATTGTCGTTTCGGGGGGCAAAAGGGACCCGAGCACGAAGATAGATGCATAAAATGCCTGAAAGCTAAGGCATGAGTGATGCTCAGGTAAACAAACGTTTGATTCCCTTCAGCGGGTTGCTCTGGTCGTTGCAACCAATGCATTCAGCTCCAGCCGTCCGAATGGAAGCTCCTTTGGTCGCGATTCACCAAGATTGCATATCCTTAGGTTAGCCTTTGGTTTTTCACCTCTTCAAGGGTCAGACGATGACACCGAGCAACAAAGACCTAAAAGGAAGAGCTGCAAGATTGACACCAAACAACAAAAAAACAACCGGAAATGCCTTGGAACAAGAAGACGTTGATCGCCAGTTGCCTATTGCTTCGTGCTGTATGTGTTTGTTGTTCTCAAGTGTTTTTTTGTTTTGCTCGGGCAATGGTGAGCAAATGAGGAGTTGTTAGCTTTGCAACCTGCAAGGTATCCCAACCCTCAGGCAATGATCAAGCTGGAGATCAAAGACACAAGAAGCAACAAAACTGCGCCGAGAGCACTGGTTTCGGTTATGCTTGGGGATTAGGCTTATGGGGGGAATGACACAGCACAACAAAAAATGAATGTCTAGCAAGGGAAGCATGTCCCCTGGAATCTGGAATCACTCTTTTGATTGGGGTTGAACCCTAGCCCACAATGCAGTTCTTTGTCCATGGCACATGTCTCCAGTGAACCCGAGGTATGGCCTGTCCAGCGAACCCGAGTTCCCGGAAGAGCGAGTGATGCAGGCCGGTGATGAACATCTCATCATTCTTTGCTCCGATGGAGTTTGGGATATGCTCAATCCCCGCGAAGCGGCAGCTCGGCGGAATCCGTGATGGGTCCATGGCCTACCCCAGGACAAACGTGGTACTCCTCGACCAGTTTAGGATGTTTAGAGGTAATCGCGCAGTCCTTTTTCCAATCTGAGAGGCAGCTACCCCTTAAGATTTGAACGCTTACTTTTGAAGCCAAATGAGGAAGGTACCCGCTAACGTCCAAACCACCAGTCACCAAGCCACAAATTCGGGAAAAGGTGAGCACTTAGCCTCACTTCCATGTGCTTAAGAATATGTGTGTGTTTCCTTTTGTTGGCTTTCAAGGGCATGCATCACTGCTGGATGTTTGCTTTCCAGGGGCGAAAAAGCAAATGGAACCAGAGGTGAGTAACAACAAATAAACCAACAAAGCCAACGGCGAAAAAATCGCGGCGCACCGCGGCGCGCCGCGTGCGCGGTGCTGAGGTGCAGATCTGCAGCAAGTTCCCTGCGGAGGACGCCCAGCGCGCAGCGGAGCGGCTCTGCGCGAAGGCCCAGAGCCGGTGGCAGCAGGAGCCGAGCGAGCGAGCGAGCGGTCGGGGTCCCACACCGGGGTCCCATGAAAAGAAGGCTGAGACAGCAGTGCGATTGAAAAGGATGACATGAAAGAGTATTTCTCCCACGTTGACCAAGGTGAATCTCGGTTCGATCAAGGCCATTTTCCTCTTACTTGGCCTTTTGGTGGGTTCCATCCTGCAGGAAGTCGAGAGTGGCGCCATCGATGACATCACCGCCATCGTCATCAGGCGCCTTCGCGTCTCCATGTCTATCCCGCGTCCGAGGTGCGAAGCAGCTTGGGGCATATGGTGGATATGGCATCCTCAGGTTTTAATCCACGGGGGTAGTCAATTCATGGAATCCTGCGTGTGTATCCGAGCGCCAGGTGTGGTGGAGACGCTTCCGCGCGAGTGAAAGCCGCGCACCCTTGAGTAGCTGCTAGCTGTGTCAGGGTTGGGCAAAGTAGCCACCAGACCTGTGCCGTTCCCCTTTGCAGTTGGATGCATGGCGCAGTTCCAGCCCATGGTTTTTGTCATGCAGTCACCTCCTTCGCTTGCCTTAAGACGCCCAGAAAGGGAACCAAGCCCAGACACCCAGTGGTGGGGTTCACTAAGAATCAGTCGAAAAAGGGCCTTGTTCGTAGTAAAAATCCACTGGGGGCTTTGGGCGGAGAACAGGCCCAACCCAGTGCCGGCCTAAAGAGCTGGACTCCAGGAGTTGTTGGCTCGCAAGCTGCTGGTCCAGTCAAACCTCCTTTGGGCGCTGGAAACTGGGGTTGGCGACTCGTTCCGCGATCACCCCCAGACCATTTGAGGCCTGACATGTGAAGTGGCACGTCCGCGACCAGAGCTGTTGACAATCCTCTTGGGCAACCAGTCAAGGTCCTAAAAGGGTGATCCACCAGTTCCAGGTTATTTGAGTGCCAAAAACAACTTTCAAACCAGAAACGGCCGAAACTCCAGGGTGGGTTTCCGCTGAGAAGGCTGAGGGTAGTGAAGCTGATCCGTTCTTTTCAAGCTTTTCAGCTCCTCGAGTCCTCGCCACGGCATTTCTTCCCTTCCTTTTCCTCTCCCAGGCCGGCTTACACAATGCAATCTGCACTAATCATGGTGAGCTCGAAAAATGAACGAACGAAAGCCCGTGATGAAGGCCCTTTACTAGCAGGCCCCTAAATTCAGGTGCAGTTAGTGCAGAATTGTGGCAATTAGTGCAGATACAATTTGCAACTGAAGCCGAGCAACTGGAAGGAGTGCAGCCTAAGAATTTGCTGCTTCCTGTGACAGGCTTGCTGTGGTTTTGATCAGCTGTCACTGCTCCATTAGCAAATTCAGGGTTCCTTACAATTCCCGTTGTCAATGGAGGTTGCGCAATTACCACTTCTCGTTGGACCGCTTCAGAGTAAGCTTCTTGCTGGTGATGCTTGCAGAGCTCGGAGCACCTTCTGAACGTTTTGCAGGCACTTCCCAAGGATGAAAGGCACCCAAGGAAGAAGAGAGAACCGCATCATGTAAGGAACCCAGGTCACAACTTTAAGCATTTCCCACCGTTGGTGATGTGAGGCCCGGTCAGGATTTTCAGCATTTGGGCCCGATTCGTATCGGTGAAGTCCGAAACACGTACGATTGACCGTGGCTCATATACGTCCGTCCGTCTCTTGTAAGTGGCTGTCAATGACAACCACTTGGGGCTTTACTGGGCCGCGCTTTTGGCTCCATTCGGCCTCGAGACAATCGCATTGACTGCCTTCAATCCAATGGTTGTCAAGGGCCCAAAACAAGGCACCCAAAAGGAACCTATTAGCTCATAGGCCTTTGTCGCTGTTGGCCCCTATTGGAAAATTGGGCCCTTGACAACCTAGGATTCAAAGATGGCGATGCAAACCCAAGCGGGCCGCAAAAAAGCAAGCGCCCTTGACTGTTGCAGGTCAACATTGGAAAGGGATTGTGAGGAACAAATTATGGTGCTCATAGCCACGCAACACACATCAGGTTCTGTTTCAAACCAAGATTGCGGAATGATAAGTTAGTGTACGGGGGCGGAGGGAAGGAGGGCGTGGAGGAGGGAGGTGATAAATATGGATTTAAAAAAATGCAAAGCAAAAAACACACCTCTGCTCCCTATATGCTATGCAATATATTCTTGTTTTTCGGGGTTTATATGGGTATATATGCTTTGGGGATCATATGAAAAAATGATTATATTAAAATAAATTAATGTTTGGATTGCCAAATGTATTCAATATCTTACATTTGTTTTGTATATTTAGATTAGATTGGATTTTATATTCTTCATAATTATTAAATATTATTGTGTTAAACAAAAAATAAAAATAAACATAAAACAAAAAAATATATATTATTTGGATTATAGTTATAGATATTTTGAAATTAATTAGTGTATAATGGGATTATATATTTTTTGAATTAATATATATATTTTAATATATTGAATATTGTGTTTTATATAAAATGAATTTAATATATTTTGATTATAAAATTATATATATATATTTTATAATTTCTTATTAATAAAAATATTTAAAATTTAATAAAATTATATTATTAATTTATAAATTAATATAATCTTGATTTTGTAATTTTTATATATCACATTATGATTATAAAAATAAAAAAAATAAATTAAAAAAATAAATATATATATAAATAAAAATAGGAAAAAATACAAAAATAGAAAGAAATAACAAATACACTATATTATTTAAATTTATGAATATTTATAAGTAAAATTCCGGATATTTCGGGAACTTGGTCCGGGCTATGACTGGAAGATATAGCCGCTTTATATTTCTTACGAACCACTTACCTAAATTTGTTTAGGCTACTCCGGCATATGTGCGGAAGACATAATGGCTTAATTTTGTTGTATGGATTAATTTGTTGAAATATTTTAGATATTTTGGGAAAATGATCCGATATCTAAATTTATTCGGGCTACTCCGGCATATGTATGGAAGATATAATGTCTCCATTTTTTATAGGGATTACTTTTCCGAAATATTTAAGATATTTCGGAAAAACGATCCGGAAATCGTAGTTATCCATTATTTTCTCGAAATATTCCCTATATTTCGGGGATTATTTTCCCGAAATATTCCAAATATTTTAGGAAATGGTTTTCGGCCGCTTATTGTTAATACGCAAACAAGAACTAAGATATCCTGAACCCAATTTTCAATTGTTTATCGTTAATGCATAAGCAAGAACTAAGACATCTTGAGCCCTTAGCTCTACACCACAAATCCCTTTGGCAGCAACGATGGCCGCTTCGAACCAGTTGCTGAAGGCATGAGTCTAACTACTCTTAACCCTCAACCTTAAAACCTTAAAGCCTATTTCTCCTTTTGGCGGATTTAAATATTACTTTTTGGGCCAACTTAAAATGATTTTTTGCGGTGAAATTAAAAGGAGAAATATATAGAGACCTATTTGGTGTAGGATCGATACGAAATAACCAGCTTTTTGGTTAGTATTATGTTTTTTTCCTAGAAAACATAATTTAGGGAAAGCAACCCATGTTATTAGCAGAGAAAGGCATAATTTTCTGTGTCCAAGATACACTAATAAGTCCCGTCTTAGGGCAGGAATAGGCGAAGCTTCCGCTTAGTGCGGGTGGGTCCGGTCATAAGCGGATAGATATACAACGCCTATGGAAAGGTTTTCTTAATTCCATATTATTTTATAGACAGTCGTTTGTTTTTTCTTCTCGAAAGCATGGCGAAGGGTTCTTCTACTAGGTTTATTTGAATTATTCTCATGATAATTTTTATAAGGCATGATTGCAAGGAATTATCATCATGAAAGTTAATGCAAAGAATCATTGCAAGGAGTTATTGCTAAGAGTCTTTGAAGGAGTCATTGTAAGGAGTTATTGCAAGGAGTTATTAAAAGGAATCAGTTAAAGGAGTATTGCAAGGAGTGATTGTAAGGAATTATTGCAAGGAGTTATTACAAGGAGTTATTACAAAGAATTAGTGTAAGGAATTATTGCAAGGAATTATTATAAGGAATTATTGTAAGGACTCATTATAAGGAGTTATTGTAAAGAGATATTGCAAGGAATTATTGTAAGGAGTCATTGTTAGGAGCTATTATAAGGAATTATTGCTAGGAGTCATTGCAAAGAATTATTACAAGGAGTTATTATAAGGAGTTATTATAAGGAATTGTTATTGCAAAAAATCAATGTAAGGAATTATTGCAAGGAGTTATGAGAGTTATTATGAGCTATGTGTGGAGTTAAGTGTAAGTTGTAAGTGTAAGGAGTTAGGTGTAAATTGCAAATATATGGAATTAAGTGCAAATTGCAAATACAAGGAGTTAAGTGCAAGTTGCAAGTGCAAAGAGTCAGGTGTAAATTGCAAGTGCATGGAGTTAAGTGCAAGTTACAAGTGCAAGGAGATAAGTGCAAGTTGTAAGTGCCAATTAATTTGCGAGGAAGTAATATCTCTTCTTAGGGCGGCGGAGTAATGCCGACGACACTAAACGAAAATCGACTCTCTACGGGGATCGGCGTGGTTAAGGTGCAAAAACCCATGGTTTTTTGCGATTTCGGCGGTGCTCGCACGACCCTTTGCGGGGATCGGCGTAGTCGAGGTGCAAAAACCCATGGTTTTTTGCGATTTCTGCGGTGCTCGTGACCCTCTACGGGGATCGGCATGGTTGAGGTGCAACAATTCGAGGTTTTTTGCGATTTCTGCGGTGTTTGTGCAACCCTCTGCGGGAATCGGCGTGGCTTTTGTTGTTCGAATTGGTCCTCGGGAGTTGTTTTGTGGTTTGCGTGCCTGCTCCCGGAACCGGTAGGTCGCGGGTTTGATTCCTCCCTGGTCCATGGGCGAGCGTCGTAAGATGCAACTTGCATTTTTAAGCAACTTGCGCAGAGCAATTTGCGCAGAGCAAATTGCACAGAGCAATTTGCGCAGACCAACTTGCACCGACCAGTTTGCGCAGAGCGCCTTGCTTAGAGCAACTTGCGCAGAGCAACTCTAGAGCAACTTGTACAGAGCAATTTGCGGAAACGTCTATCCTTGTCCGACTGAGGGGCTCGTCCTTGTCGTTCGTGCTGTTTTTGGATCACTTCTAATCCCCCGAAGGTCGTTTAAAAAAGTATTTCCTATTAAAAACCCGATGAAGCAAGCGCAACCGGCGCCAAGGCCAAGAGGCAGGCCCCCGGGCAGCAAGAACAAGCCCAAGCCGCCCGCGCTGCCCCTGTCAAAGAGCAAAAAAATGATCCCCGACCTGCCCACAACAGAGCCAGCGTACGAAATCGACTCCCCTTCCGGCCCAAGACATTGAGATTTCCCAGAGCAGCGCCGCCCAAGGCAAAGCCCAAGGCAAGCGCGCTCCCCCCGCCCAAGCCCAAGGCAGCAGCCAAGACAGCTGCCGTGCCCAAGGCAGCACCCAAGGCAGCGCCCAAGGCAGCAGATTTGAGCAAGGCAGCGCCCAAAACAGCACCCAAGCCAGCACCCAAGCCCAAGGCAACACCCAAGCCCAAGCCAGCCCCCATGGCAGCGCCCGAGCCCGAGGCACAGTTAGAGCCCGAGGTACGAGCAGAGGTACAGCCCGAGCCCAAGGTACGGCCCGAGGTACACTGCGAGGTACGGCCCGAAGCGGGGCAATCCGGTTGCCAACGCAGGATTGAGTGGAGCAATCCTGTTGTCAACGCAGGATTGAGTGGAGCAATCCTGTTGTCAACGAAGGATTGAGTGGAGCAATCCTGTGCTCGGCGCAAAACTCCGCCAGCGCCCCGGCGAGAAGCAGGCCGCTGACAGACCTTCGGCGCTGCGGCAGTGGCCCGCACCAGGCCCGCACCTGGGTTTTTCGGGCTGAAAACCAACTGTGGCAGGAGCGAAGTCGGAATTCCGACGAGCGAAGTGGGAATTCCGACCTCGGTGGACTTTTAGACCAAAGCCGCGGAGCCGGTCTCGCTTTTCCAAGTACGAAAGCTCCCTTGTCTCAGTGGTTATGTCTCTATAATGAACCAACCTTGCCCATTAATGAATCAGCCCGTTCCATTATTGACTCAAAGAACGAAGTCCTCTGGAACTCGGGAACTTGGCCGCGTTTGCTTTTTGGCCCAAAAGAGAGCGGTGACGAAGCGGTGACAAGCGGTGACAAGCTCGGCGGGATGGAATTCGCCTGTTTTCCGGGCTGAAAGTGGAATCTTGAGCAAAGTGAGCGTCTGGAGCCTGCTTTCGACCGAAAACGAGCGAAACTTGAGGCTCTCCCACTTGCCGTCTGACACGAAAAAACGAACTTTTCGGAGTTGGCCGTTTTGAGCGCTTTTGCACCAAAAACGGAGCGGTGACAAAGACCGGTGACAAGTTCGGCAGGCTGACGTGTCACAAGCCAAAACCTCGGCGGGCTGCCGCGTTACGAGCAAGGTCCTCGGCTGGCTGTCGCGCCGTGGAAAACCCTGCGAAGAACGAAGTCCTCCGAAACTCGGGAACTGGGCCGCTTTTGCGCACTTTTTCGACCCAAAAGAGAGCGGTGACGAAGCGGTGACAAGCGGTGACAAGCTCGGCGGGATGGAATTTGCCTGCTTTTCCGGACAGAAAACGGAATCCAGAGCACAGCGAGCGTCTGGAGCCTGTTTTCGACCGAAACGAGCGAATCTGGAGGCTCAGGCACCACACTTGACGTCTGAAACGAAAAAACGAACTTTTCGGAGTTGGCCGTTTTGAGCGCTTTTTGCACCAAAAACGGAGCGGTGACAAAGACCGGTGACATCGGAAAAACGTTCAGCTGGATGGAGAATTTGGCTGTTTTGCAGGGTTTGGGGGTCAAAAATCCCAAATAATTAGGTCCCTATAAGCTGATGTTCCTTACTACTCCCTTTGCCCTTGTTGCGATCAGGCGTAAACCGAGGGCGCAGGTTGGGTGGGGTGGGCACGCCGGCACTGGAAGCACGAACATGGACCATCTCATTGACCGCCTTGTCCATGGACCAGCCCTGCTCGAATAGATCACCAATCTCCTTCCAGAGTTGCTGATCTGCGAACTCCATTTCTTCCGGGCTGGGACCTCGCAAGCCTGAGTTGGGCGGGAAGCGGTGTGCTGCCTTGGCAAGGAAAGCTCGACCATAGTCCTTCAAGACCCGAAGATGAGCACCCTTAAGTAAAGCAATACCGAGGTGGAGAATGCAGCTAAGCTGATGTAACCCCAGTGAAGGACCAACTGGCCTGGTAGGGAGCTCCTTGAACAACAAATCTTGGAGGCCTTCTTAGGGACTCTGCCGAAGGTCTCACTTTCTTCGTGAGCTTTCAAGAAAAGGCGGTATTTCCACGCGCAGAATCGCCACTGCTTGTCCTGCAAGTTCCTGCGCAGCCAGGCAAGCATCCGAGCATGGCTACAATGATTTGACCGATGGCGCCGGTCAAATCGTGATGGAAATTTCTGTTGCAAACAGACAGTACTTTCTCTCCTGCTGGCTTAACAGGGACATGAATTGTCCCGGCTTGTTGCTGCCCCCCTTTTTCCCCCCCTTTTCTCTTGTGCAGTGGGGAGGAACAAAACCTGTTGAACCCTGACCGGTTTGGTAAATCCCCTCCGTCAAGTTTATACAAAACCGCTGGAATGCCGTCGAGGCCTTGAGAACAAGCTGGGAAGCGAACAGCTCGGCAACTTGAGATTTTTATAACAGAGCGGTTTAAATTTTTAAACGCAACTGCATTGGATTGCATGAGTGGTTGTGTGATTGTGATCACCTTGAAACTCATGCAGATCACCGATGCTTTCGGCTTTAAGGGTGGTGAGGGTGGGTGCCCTGTTTTAATCCACAGTCTTTTTGGGCTAAACCAAATGGTGTCATGCCATTGCGGTTCAGTGAGGCGGACTTGTATTCTTACCTGTGCCATCTCAGGTCATCAAAGGCAGGGGCATCAGCTTTGCAGCACACGCTTGAAGCATTAGGTTTCCTTGACGGGACGGCCGAGTTCGTGCATGTGGGCTTGAACCGAACAATTTCGGGTCGATGCAAGGGGGCAGCCAGAGATTCTTTCCTCACCAAGGAACCGCTCAAGCAGAAGGATCCCTTGCTCTTGGTTCAGGTGCGAGCGTTGGAGGAGCTGTGCATGACGGCCTCTGCCCGCGATGTTTCGTGTTGCAGGTGGAAGGACTCCCAACGGATTTGAAGCTTGTCTAGATATTACAGCCGGGACGTAACGCTAGTGTTTGCCGAGGCACTCAAGTCCAAGACCACTCTGACAGCAGATTCCCAGTCGAGGTTTTTGCCCTATGTGGCCTTGAGCACCGGGGTCACATTTGCAGATTGGTCGGATGTGTGGCTGCAAGCAAGAGAATCTGAAGGTCTCTCATTCGGCGCTTTTGCATTACCTAGCTACAGCGAGCGTGAGTGTGCTTGGATCGAGGCGCCCATGAGCTCATCAGAAGCAACGGTGTGGCTCAGGGAATTCCTCGAGATTGCTGGCACACTCCCGGAAGGTTTGAGCCGTGTGGGCTCGCACTCCTGCAAAAGCACGGTGTTGACTTGGGCAGGCAGATCAACTCACATAAAATTTCGCCAAGCGGAGACCCTTTGGGGCATCACATGAGCCCGGGCGACAAAAGTATGTTGACCTACAGTCGGGAAGCCTATACCTCCTTGTACGGGAAAGTTCTTGCTCTTTTCAGGTCCATCGAGAGTGGCGCTTTCGAACCTGACAGGACAGCCGTGGCCCGGGTGCTCGCATGTGCAGATGCGATTTGGCAAGGGGACTTGGAAGGACAGGGACCGGACCGTGCGGACCAACCGGACTCGGACAGTGACACCAGCCAAGCATCTTCTGCCGATGTTGGTGCATGCGGAGCAGGTGCCGCATGACCGCGTGCCTCTGCCGAAGGCCCGGGATCGTGAGTGGGTTCCGGACCAATGTGTCATCCATAAGATCTCGGGCGTGGCGCGCATAGTCCGATGTGAGAAATTCCTCAAATGCGGCAGGCTCCTATCGCGGAATTTTGATGCAGTGCCAGTTGATTTTCCCGAGCCTCGAGAGCTGGACCACTGTGCGCAGTGCAGCAGATCTCTCGTGTAGGCGAAGTTGCAGGTTACCAGATTGGGACAGCCCGGGCAAAAGGAGCGGAGCTCCGATCGTCGGCGGGTATGTCCTTGGGGGATGAAGGTGAAGGGCGAAGTGATCTTTTGCTCGAGGGCGAATGTGGAACGTGAACCGCAGCGCTGGATCGAGTGTTTTGGATCGCTTACCCCTTTTGTTGCCTTCCCCCCTTGGCTGGTAAACCTCATGAAGCTGTGTGTAACACTGGAACACCACGAAACCGTTGCCAGAGACGACCACCAGTGTTCCAGCAAAAAAAAAAAGGCCAGGCCCCCTCCTAAGAAGGTTGATGGAAACGTGACCCATTACTATCTGAACTGTTTGCCCGTCTAGCCATGGCGTCAGCTACGTTGGACAGCAAAGCTGCCTTCGAGCAGCGGGCTCGTCAGGTTGGAGTTGAGGAAGTTTTTTTGACAGCGCTAAAAGCCGCAGGTTTCGACACGTTTGGATCTCTGGCATTTGCAGTGCCTCACTCGCCGACTCGGCAGGACGAAGAAGTCTTTGTGGCTTTTCTCAAGAGAGTCAACGGTGGAGCTGACCCCACACAGATCCAGGTGGCGCGCATGAGAAGGTTATTCTACGAGAGTCACACCTTGGCGTTGTCAGATCTGAAGCAGCGGGTGGAGTCCGGCCCGGACCCCGCCCAACAGACCAGGCGGCTCCCGACGGCAGAGCGGGTGGCTAGACAAAACGAGCAGGAGACTCGCTTGGCGGGTATAGTTTTCTCACTGGAGGTCATGCCTTCACACAGGTTCGTGGAAATGGCCGAGTCGGGAATCCTGGCCTACATATCGCCCGACAACTGCACGAGCAGAGCCCAGGAGGTCCAGTGCGTGAAGAAGGATGCAGCTATTTCGCTTGACAGCGCTGGCGTTTTGAAGCTCCACAATAAATCTGCGGACCTGGTGGTCGACACGGGAACGGAAGTTTGCTTGAGGTCCGCCTGGTTGAGGAGGAGTTTAGCGATGGACCAAGCCGGGTTGGTAAAGTTTCAGACCATCGAGAAATGGGTACAGTACCTTTTTCTGCAGTTGTGCAAAGATCAGCCAAAGAATTTCTCCAAAGTGACCCTGCATCAGATCGTCGAGTGTGTCACCTGCAGAGTCCAGCCGCAAGGCGGACGAGTCTGCGTCGGCCCTTTTAGACTTGTTGGGATGGCGACATGCCAAAACGGGTCCCAAGGCCCCCAGCTTCCAGCCGGAATTCGTTGTGCTTGGTATGCGCTTGCGCGAAGGTGTGATCACGCTCAGCAACAAACCTGGCGAGTGGAACGCCTATGTGCCCTTTTTTGGAGGACATCGCTCGCCAAGGGGAAGGTGACCAAGCAAGAGGCTCAGTCGGTGCATGGGTTGCTCAGGTATGCGAGTGGCCACTTTGCAGGCCGGCGGCTGGGATTGGGTTCCCCAATCCACCAAGTTGAAAAACGTGTGCCGTGTCTCTTCTGCGGAAGGGAAAGCCCAGGGTCATTCCAGCTCAGCTTGATGAGAGGCCCGTGATAGTTTTCACAGATGGATCCTGGGAGAACCATCAGGGCGGCACGGGCGCGGCGGTGGTCGACATGGCCACCGGTGCCGGACACGCCCCCGAAGGCACGGTCCCTCTTGGACTAGCGTCATTCTGGTCGGAAACGGTGGGCGAGCAAGCCATTTGTGAAGTGGAGTTGCTGGCTGTTGTGGCCTTGCGAGAAGTGATGGGCGCAGCTTGGTTAAACCGCCGAGTATTTATCTGGAGATAGATAATGAGAGCGCCAGGTTCGGACTTATCAAGGGCATTAGCAGAAGTGGGGCAATGCAAAGCCTGCTCCACCAGTACTGCGAACTGGACACGCGTTGGCCTTGTTTCCAGTGGATCGAGCGAGTCCCGTCTGCGTCCAACCCTTCTGACGGGCCCTCTCGTTTTGCGGCCGAAGAAGCTTGTCGTTGGGTAGGTTTAGATCGGCCCGAGAGTTTCGTGGTGCCAGACCGCCTGATCAAGGCCCTTGTGGAGGGGCCCGGATTGGAGAGTAAGGGAGAGGTGACAGCGTCGTGAATAGTGGGAGGAAATCGGGACGCTGGGAATGCCGAGACTCAACAGCCTTTGAAAGCTGGGACTCGTGCAGCCCAAAACCACCCGTTGCCTAAAGCAGTTTTTGCACCACTAAGTGATGCCACCGAGATTTCCCCGGACTCTCACTCACTAGCAGAATGAAAGAGGTGCCCGTGCGCGAATGTCACCGACATGAGAGCAGTCAGATTTGCACAGTCATGTTTCAGGGCGTCGCCCAGTCCGCTTACTTGTTTTTCCTAATGGTTGGATCCCGCCGCTATGCGGCTTCCTTCCTCTGAGGAACTTGGGTAAACTAGGACACCAGGGATAACCTTGCGGGTTTGGGGTTCTAGGTGGTTCTCCCCTCTTGGGGGGCGGGGTGGCTCAAACAAGCATAAAAGCCTATAAAGGGAGAAGGAAATTTCTGTTGCAAACAGACAGTACTTTCTCTCCTGCTGGCTGAACAGGGACATGAATTGTCCCGGCTTGTTGCTGCCCCCCTTTTTCCCCCCCTTTTCTCTTGTGCAGTGGGGAGTCAAGTTTATACAAAACCGCTGGAATGCCGTCGAGGCCTTGAGAACAAGCTGGGAAGCGAACAGCTCGGCAACTTGAGATTTTTATAACAGAGCGGTTTAAATTTTTAAACGCATTGGATTGCATGAGTGGTTGTGTGATTGTGATCACCTTGAAACTCATGCAGATCACCGATGCTTTCGGCTGTAAGGGTGGTGAGGGTGGGTGCCCTGTTTTAATCCACAGTCTTTTGGGAAACCCGCCCAACCCGCCCTGGGAGGAAATCGGGACGCTGGGAATGCCGAGACTCAACAGCCTTTGAAAGCTGGGACTCGTGCAGCCCAAAACCACCCGTTGCCTAAAGCAGTTTTTGCACCACTAAGTGATGCCACCGAGATTTCCCCGGACTCTCACTCACTAGCAGAATGAAAGAGGTGCCCGTGCGCAAACGGGTCAGTGCATTCCTTTGGATGATCCGACTTGGGTGCCGGAGATTGCATCATCACACCTGCTGGTAGGGACAATCACTACGATCGCATCGCACGTGGACTGCGCCCTTGGGCGTGCGTGGCGTATGCCCATGTTCCACCCTCAGCTGATGGCGGCGACGGCGATGCTGGAGAAGCTGCAGAAGTACTTCAACGCGCTGAACGAAGCGGTGCTAGGCAAGCGGTTGGGAACTGCGCCTTTCAGCATGATAGCCGGTCACCTCGCTCCGGAGTTGCGGACTATCCCGACGAGGGAGCAGATGCCCGACACGCTGGCGCAATCAGCGGCTGAGATTATGCTGTCTCATGTGTCGGCATTGTCCCATTCAGGGTCTGCTTCCGATAGGAAGGAGATCCTCGGAAGGGATGGGTTCCCGTTCGGGAAATCATGGTTCGAAGATGACCCTGAAGGGGCCACTTGGCCTGGACACCATATGGCTGGGGGTGTCGCTGTCCCGCTGAAGCCGAAGACGAAGATCGTGTGGGGAAAGCGACCGCATGTGGATGACGAGGGCGATGTGGACCCTGGGGCGAGCTCTTCGGGGCAGCCGAGGACCGAGCCGGCCCCCGATAGGGGCGCCGGGTCGGGAAAGGACGATGATGTGACCCTTCCTGACATTGGAAAACTTTCCGTGACAGAGAAGAAGAAAGACGATCCAAGAAGGATTCCGCCGGGACGAAGAAGCCCACGCCTCGGGATACTGAGGCTGGGAAGACAGACCCGAGCGAGATCACCAACTTCAAAGGGGCTACCTTCGAGGAGTACCGAAAGACTGCTCCTGACTATGTGTACAGTGGGGAGGGAGATGATCGAAGGATCCTTCCCAAGAACACTCCGATTGACATGGAGAAATCGTTGCCAACCGAGGCAGCGCTCCTGATTCCCAGAGCAGTGGCCACGCAAAGGGAGGCTGAGGAAGCCGAGAAGGCCGCGATGGAGGCCATCCGCGGGGACTATAGGCTCCCTGACGTGGGTCAGGAAGACAGGGAGAAGGTCGACCCTCACACCGTGACGGATGGAGACTTGGCTGCGTCGATAGACGCGTTGACTAGGAGGTTAAGCGACATGCCTGAGTGGTCGGGCAATCTGATAGATCCTGCAAAGTCTGCTGAGCTGGTCGCGGCGA